ACAGCGTCTCTTGTGCGGATTGTGCTTTCAACGTTTTATTATCAAACATGTCCCACAATTTAGCAACAGTAGAGATGGCATCTTACAACAATCACCGACTGAGCTGATACTGACGTTAAGTTTGGGTTTTAGGGAGGAACGAATGCGCACCGCTGTGAAGGGAAAGTAGTTGCGCAATACGAAACGCAGCTAGTTTTTAATAGCTTTACTGCATGAACATTTGGGCGGCGTTATGCAAATCTTCCCACATAGTGAGGTAGATATGTGGGGACGTGTTAGAACGAGCTGTTTTAGGTAGGTGTGGCTGACTCTTAACTTTTATAAAGAATATCTCTTTGGATTTGAGACTTTAGTCTTTGCAACTTTACAGATCTTCTTTATGCACCAAGAGCTTGTAACACTCCAAAGAGAAAGGAAAAATTGAAATCGCATCATATGACCCCTTTAATCAATCTCCTGTGAGATTTATGATACAGCTCAATTCTCCTCCTATTTCTGGATTTCTTCCAGCATATATGGCTGCTGCCTCTCTGGTCACTGTAGGAAACATATGAAAGCAATTTTGAATGTGTCTACTGGGAGGTCAATAATAAAAACACGAAACACCCCTGCCTGGCGTCTCCCCCAGTTCCCCCTGACTAAACTCTGGGCAGCAGTAGGTCCAGAGCTGCCCAGCTTGCTGTCTCTCCTCTGGCCACATTGGGGGAAGTTTGAGTCAGGCCTCTCTTAGGGGTCCTGCTGGCTTTCTTTTTCCTTCCTTAGCTGACACTGGGAACATTGTTCAGTGTCAGGGGATGAACTCCTCCACAGCTGCAATGTCTGTGCCTTCAGACACTATCGTGATGATAAAAAAGAGCAATAGAGCTAATTTTGATCTGTGCAGTGTCAGGTGCTTGCTTCCAACCATATCACTGTCTGACAAACAGCAGGCCTACATGGCATGATAATTTTCAAAACCACAGATCTCTCGCTAAAACCAATGAGGAACGACATTAGTCATGGGAGAGTTACATGCACGTCATCTGCAGACAGCTGTTAGAAAGCCTCTTTGCTCGCTTTTAATGTATTAGAACAGCTTTTAGGCCAGTGGCCAACATTCAAATTAGTGTTTACTCTTAATAAACATCTAAAAAGATTTAAACTAGATTTAAATGTAAATAAAATAAAAATCGTTTATACAAATTAAGATATTTAGCATGGAATGTAGATTTTGTTTTCTTTACCAGCCTTTTCACACATACTATATTTTTGGAAGAATTATGTTGTTGTTGTTTTTTACATGGCAGTTCACTTTGATATCTCAGTTGTTTCTTCTAGACATCATTGAGATTAAATGAAGAGCAAATTGAGAAATGTTGAGAATTTTTTTTTTTTTTTTAACTAATTGAGTTCTTTTTTCTTTCCATGAGGAAAAGGCTCCAAATGTGTCTCCTCTCAAGTTTCAGGAGAGACCTCTACTGGACTTAGATTTGCCAAACTACAAGTCTGGCATCAAAAGTTAAGAGATTTCAGTTTAAACTCAGGAATTTTTATACTTGAAAATAGGCTTTTTGTAAATTTGTCTGCTACTTTCTCATTTGTATCAGGTTTTACATTCCCTAAGGAATATAATGAGAAACATCTAAAACAAAGTTGATACTTGCATGAAATGTAACTGAGACCACCTGAGCCACCTTTTGAGCAATAAAAATGTTCTTCTGAGAGCACCTATCAACCTGTATGCTCATGATGTGTTCAATAAACCACTGGAACACTTCAAATTTTTCCCCACTGCATGCCAGATATATAGAGATACCATTACTGTTAAAAATAAACACCAATCATACTGTCAAAACCGCCCAGAGGCAAGTGACCTCACATGTTTCAGACAGTATGCTTTCTCTGTCAGGGCTGGCTCAGATTTGAGTTGTTACCCTCTTATATTGTTACATTTATGAGGATTGGCTAATGAGATAATACTGTGGAACCTGAGGTTTAGTTTCACTGTCAACATTCCAAGGAGAAATTATACAGGAATAGCCTGTTGTCTTATTCTAATGAATTGATACATTTTTGGTCATTGAATGTCTACAGAGAGGGTCTTTTGGTGTCTTTTTTCATTTCATTAAATTGTTTTCTAAGTCTTAATATAATTATGGTAGATTATATATTATCTATGTATGTCTTTTACACATTTACATCTTATTTTAATCTTATTTG